TAGTTTTTGCGCGCATTTTCTAACTGCTCCTACTCCTCATGTAAAACTCAATTACGCTTCAAAAGAAATTAATCCCAATCTTAAAACGCTCAGTGTTTGTAAAACCGATTTTATAAATATGCAAAAAGTCTGTTTGTTCTATTGCTTCGATATTGTTGAGGCGAATTCATTTTTTTACAAACTGCTTGTTGGGTATTTCGCCTCAAAAATTTTTGTCTTTAAAAAAGACAGAATTTCCTCACGTCTTTTATTACAGATTGATAAATAGTGCAAGAGCACTGTTTATCAATCTGTAATAAAAGACGTGAGGAAATTCTGTCTTTTTTAAAGACAAAAATTTTTGAGGCGAAATACCCAACAAGCAGTTGGTAAAAAAACTTTTTGAGATTTTGTGTAATTCGACATGCATGTAAAAAATGATTTAGGAACCCGCTCTTCCCCTATTTTTCGGAAGGTTTGCCTCACTTTGCGTTGAGATTTGCACTTTTTACCGACTCCCTATTTTGAATTTTGATGGCACGAAGAGTGCAAATATTAATTTAACAATTTATATATCTCCTTACAAAATGGAAAAATGGACTAACGCAAAAAAGCTGCTTTTCCATGAAAAAAAAATTCCAACGCAATGCACATATCTGTTACTCGCACATAATTTTCAGTGTTTCTTTCAATCGATCGTTGAATTTAATACAATATCCAAACATCCCGTGTCCAGAATCCTGTAACAGTTCCGCAAAATGCGTATATTAGTCAACACATCTGGATAAAGTTAATCATAAGCGAGCAATAATGAAATTCGCCACATAAGAGCGTTTTCTGGATCCGCCCTGTAATTCTAGAGCAAACAAAGTGGAAAGCGAATGAATTGCAAAGCGCCCTTGGCATTGTTCACTACAGCCATGCCGAGGCATCATCCAATCGACATCTTCTTAATTTTAATTGTAATTTTTTCCGGAAGTCTCGATCTGAGCGTAGCAGAGAGCGACCGGCTTTTTGTGCGGAAGTGTTGTCCAATGAAATTCGACTATGTCAATCTAACGTGCGTTCCAAGTGAAAACGACTTTAAAATGGATTTCCTGCTCGAATTCAACTTTGCGTTCGAATTCCTCATTGGACGGAACTGCAGCAGTGAGATGAATTCCATACTTCTGCAGGCCTCCGATCTTACAGTTTCGTTTCGCATTGTTCAAAGTGGCGATTTGCAAATTCGTAACAACGAGACCACGGAAGCTGCTAGCAATCAGGCCGAGGAAGCTGCTACTGTTGTTGTTAAAGCCGATGATTATTGCCTGGATTTTATCAATGAAGACCAATCGGGATTGTCTGCGCTTGTATGTTTAGGCAACGAAGATTATCTCGTTATTGAAATGGTTTATGGTAAGTAAATTCTTGATTTTCGGGCGAAAATCCATGATTTTTCAGACACGGGCAGTTTCCAGGGAATTTTGCTGGCAAAGCAAAATAACGCTGATTATTTTCTGTAGCCAGATATTTAACAAAACAAACTTCTCCAACGCGATAGTTCAAGTCGTGATTTTCAACAGCCTCTGAAGATGGTCGCCGTGCGTGCCATCGAAACGGTAGAACCAAATTCGTACCGACTACCACATTAAAACCCGAAAATCTCCAATTAATCGACGGACTCTTAGTGGCAAAGCCCAGTAAAGTCAACTCTGAATTTTTAAGCTCCATTTTGCCTTGTCTCCATTTCGATGGACTGTCATTCTTTATTGGCAAAAAATTTCTTCCCAACTTGTCCGCGCAAAACTTAAATATTTGTAGCCGCGAAGGCGGCAAGTTGGAACGTGGTCGTGCGAGGCCTATCTTGCATCTCTCTCCGAATCCTGTGGTTGCGAGTGAGAGGAACCGATGCGTTCCAACAACAGCTACGTTCCTGAGTGGAAAATTCAGTTTCAAGTACACTAGCCGGCGATGCAACAATAAAAAAAATATCGATTTGAAACGGCAAATTTTCTTAGGCGATTTGACTGAAAACTCGGGTAAAGTGGCCCGATTGCTAATGTACAATTTAAAAAGCCAAAAGTCTATAAATATCAAATAACAAGCGCCAGGTGCTGGTTTTTTTTAAATTTCCTCGATGCAAAACTCATTTTTCGGGACATTTTCCCACTGTCCGACTAGGCGGACAGCCAGTATATGAACATTTAACACCCGACTGAAAATTTTACAATCTCGTGTAAGTAGAGCGTTCAATCGTTATCGAAATGCATCCTGTTTAGGCAAATTGACTCATTTTTTCCAAGGCATGTGGACGCGATTGATTATTGCTGAAATTACGTATTATTATTCTATTCTGAACTGGAACAGTTGCCTTATGACAAAATCGCTAATTTTTCGAGTTTAGGAATTTGGCGCTAACGTTTCGCTCCCATATACAGGGTGTCCCGTAAAGGGTGCTGCGACATTCTTTGAATCAAAAGAAGACTATCTGACCTAACTTTTATTAACAAAAACTGTCCGGCTCCTCTGCTATTGATGGTCAAAGTTCTTCAAAAAATGGATCTTTTTTTAAATATCTAGAGAATGGTACGATGTATTTTGGTGAAACTCGCTG